ACCGACTTAAAACAGTTTAAACCGATTTAATTCATATAAATCAGATTTTAAAAAATTACTTCAACTGGGAGTGAGTTGCCATCTAGGTGAACTTCTAGACTATTTTTAGAACCATGAATATATGCATGTACTTGCATACATCATTACATCTATACAAGATATCTGATTATAATGCACACAAAATGAATAATACCAAACTAAAACTGATTTTGTAACCTTGATTTTGTAACCTTTTTATTTTTTCGGCTTATTTCATGTCAGAGTAAGATATATTTAGATATCATACCAAACTAAACTTGAAATTGAGTATTTTGACGTAATTATTTAAGTTTTAAATAATTATTTTAGATATTATATCCAAATAAACATGTAACTAATTTTTTGAAATATTTATTAGGTTTTAAATATATATTTTAAATTCTATTTTGGATCTTTGAGTCAAGTTTTTTTGTTTGTTATTCGGATTTTTGGATTTTTTGGTTACATGTTCGAGTTGAGTTAAGTTAGTAAACACTTCGGATTTCAGATATATTGTGTATCCCCTTACGTGATGTATTAAATTATTTTTACATCTCAGTCGAATACATATTCAAGTTTTTGGATTTGGGTTTCTAAATCCGGATGTTTTATCCAGACCTAATTTTGTACTAATTGGAACTAGATTTAACTTATATACTAGACCATTTTATATGAAATTTGGACTGATATCCGAATATATTAGATAAAAGAATAGTACGACACACAAATCACATTGAATACTTCAAATGGAACTTACCTTATATGTCCAGCGGAATTGTTAAGATACACCCGGAAAGACAGCCTCAGTGAACCAGATTGGGTAACATAAGTGTCGTCCCTGAGTGGCCTTATTTCGATGGCTGAAATTATTGGCGACGTTGTTCCTGTCTTAACAAGACATATATCCAAAGAGTTTGACATAGATTTGTGTATGATCTCATCTAGTGTACCATTTGTCCTTCCTTCCAAATCTACACTTATCCACTTATTAGGACCAATATAGATATCAAAGTTTGGATCAAGATTAAGACCATCATAATTCCCATATACGGAGCTAACTGCGATGAGATATTTTGTGTCACGCTTGACATCTAGACTATAACAGTTGCGCTTTCCTTCAGGAAAGTATCTCAGAGTCAAATATTGTTTTGACAATGCGTTGTTCAGATCTTTATGGACTCTACCAATTTTCCCTGTTTGGATGAATCTGAAATCCGACGTGAATGTCAATCCATTAAAGGAATTATCGTAAGGAGATTCTTCAACAGGTAACCCACAATCCAAACTGATGAATCCTGTTATAAAAAGGAAAAAAAAAAGAAGAAAAATTGGATAATTGAAGCATATATTAGATATTTAAAGTCAAAGGAAGATCACTGTCGCGGCATATATTAGATATGTACCTTCTTGTGTCTGGGCTACAACTATAGCGGCATAAGTTCCAATGATGACTAACAAAAGATGACGCTTCATGTCGTCTCTCATGTTCAAGTTTCTATGATATATCAGGAGCAACACAAGACTTGTTTAGTGAAAACTTCGAAAGATCTGAAAATGAGATATACCACATGTATACGATTTGACGGAATAATAAAGAAAAGAGTCAAATCCGGCAAGAAAATTAAATAATGTAGAGTTTTATAAAATTCATAGACACATTCTACGATAAGATCGTGTAGCCATTCCTTCTGGTGTTGAATCTAGTATTGTAGGAGTGGAGACTCGTTACGTGTAGGAATACTTCCTTAACGAATGTATGTTAATCTTTAGTTGATATATATTATATACTTTGGACTCTGCTTAAATTGCTTGACCAAAAAGAAAAAATTCGGTAAGTCGTCATTTAGTCGCCAGCCACGAAGTTCAGAAAACACTCCAGACACGAAGATATGATAAGGTTCCTTTCATAGCCAACTCCTATGACCTATCTCTGGTGTGGACCTATTCTTAAAAACGGATATAACAAAGTACACAAATTATAACTTATTTACCCCATAGTTGTTGTTATTCATGCTCCATTATCTATACTAGAAGATTTTCCCGTGCTCATGCACGGATATGAATATTCATAAAAGTAAATTTTATAATAATTGATTGATATTTAATTTTAGTTTTGAATAAATTTATATGTATAATTTATATTATTAAATATTATATTATTTTAATTATACATATAACTTTGGATATATTATTGTCGGTTTAATTATTTTTTGGAGCAATAGTCGGTTTGGTTATCAATTTGGTATATTAGATAATATCTATTTTTCGAATTCAGCTTTTATTCTAAATATAATAAAACTTTGATTACTTTTCTTATTTTCATTTCGGTTGGTTATTGTCTTAGATATGTAAATATATTATAGTTAAATTATGTATAACTTAATATACATTGTGCTTAAAATGAAATAAATAATAAGCTGAAAAGTTTGATTCAAAATTACATAAACGAATATAATGATAATATTTTGAATTCTCATGCATATATATAATTCTACAAGAGAATTAAATTGTAATTGTCTAATATTTTATTTTTCTTTTTAATATGCTTTGAGTCAACCTCTAATTTATATGTATAAAATTAAATAGATTAATATTATTATTATTATAAAATTATATGTTCTTATTGTAGTTAGATTTTTAATTTTGGATATAAATTAGATTAGTCGAGTAATTCATTTTGTGATTATATTGAGTTAAATATATTTTTAAATTAAAATTGAAGTAGAATTACTTTTTATTTTAGTTAAATCAAATCAAATTAGTTTTATTTATTGCTTAAATATACATGTATTTTCATAATATTTATCAAATTATATGTTGGTTTCTAAAAAAATATTAAAAAATAAAGTGTAACTGATAAATTTTTGAATATTCATGAACATATATATTTTTATTATTTTGAAAATATATTTTATGTTATTTAAAAATATATATTAATGAGGGTATTACTGTTTTGTGAACTTTCCTTTTTAACAAAGTCATAAAATATACATATATTTTCGTTTTTAAATTTGTTTAAAAAAATTAGAAATATTTCCTTTTTATTATATATGTTATTTTGAAAAAGGTAAAAAAAGAAACTAAACAAAAGAAAAATTAAAATCTAACAATTCATTAGTGGTATCCATGTAATCAACCATCGCGAGAGTTAACGTGAGCGCGACACGTAAGAAACTGACTTTACTTAATTAATGGGGGTATTACTATTTTGTGAACTTTCCTTTTTAATAAAGTCATAAAATATACATATATTTTCGTTTTTAATTTTTTTCTAAAAAATTAGAAATATTTCTTTTTTATTATGTATGTTATTTGGAAAAAAGTAAAAAAAGAAACTAAACAAAAAAAATATATTAAAATCTAACAATTCATTAGGGGTATCCATGTAATCAACCATCGCGAGAATTAACGTGAGCGCGACACGTAGGAAACTGACTTCTCAAATAATATTATAGAGATTATTAAGGCAGACTAACTACAGCGTTGTCATTCAGTCTCCATCTTTGTTGATAATTATGCATAATCAAATGAACTATAATATTGTAACATCTCGATTTGTGCTATATGTGAAAGGTTTAAAAATTGATTCAATTATTTATATTACCAAAGTGCATTTGATTTTTCGGTCACACATCTAGAAAGAATTCTATTAAATGTGTTTGAATTAGAATAGTGAAATGATAGATGATCTACCGAGAATTGATTCACGATATACTGTGAGTGAAGCTAAAGCTAAAGGGAAATGTGTGAAGGGTTGTTATTCATGCTCCATTATATTACTTAATTATGTATAATCAAACTAACCGCAACAGTGGCAAACCTTCGTTGTGTAGGGAGGGGGCAGCTGCCCCTACAAAAATTTTGAAATAAATATATTTGCACTAAAAACAACAATTTTTCCCTAGTATAGTTGGTTTCAGTCATCTGTTTGCCCCTTTCTAGACCATAGTAAATATCATCCCTAATTGATAATTTCCTTATATATATTGTAACATCTTGGTTTGTGATATATTTAAAAGTTGATATAACTATTTAAGTCATCAAAGTGCATTTTTCTTTTCGATCACACATTCAGAAAGAATTCTACAGCTAGTGTGTTGAACTGGAATAGTGGAATGATGGATGATTTATCAAAATTTGCGATATAGTATGAGTAAGCCAAAGCTAAGGAAAAAGTCATGAAGATATTTTAGAGAGTAAACAAGTTTTCAAATCTTCAAATAAGAACATGGAAGGCCTATTAACCGTGGGCAGTCTGAGTACTTTTGTACTACATAAACTTGACGATGCTTTAAGTTGCTATATATTAACAGAAGACATCATGTCAAGACCAAGCCCAATACTATATTATACACCCATATGTGTTAGGATTCTTTTGCAAGTGAGTTAGTAGTACAAATAGGATTGTAATATGTTGTTTCTTGGGCTGCACGAGCAGCAACCACTCTCTTTTACATTTATGAATCCCTCACAATCTTCCTTATGTTGGTGACAAACACAAAGTATTTCCCTTTCTTGTTCTTCGCATTTCAATAAAGCTCAGCTATCTTTAGTTTGTGTGTTTAAAAAAAGTCTCTTAAACACACTATAGGGTACATATTGTTTTCTTTTTGGGTAAAAATGTTAAGTAGAGTACAAATTGTTTTGATACCCAACTTCTTTTTTGTGTCCAATCAAATTTATTGCAAAACTGCGTCATAAAAACAGAATAGGGACATGCCTTTTACATCTTCTTAAATCATTTTTATTTACTTAGAAAGAATCCTTGGTTCCTAAGGTATCATAGATCATCCTGAGACAGCATTAGATAGAAAGCAATATATATATTGCATCGAGAAAACTAGAGTGGAGTAGAAAAAAAAAGAACTTCTGATCAAAATTATAACTTTTACATTAGCTGGATCGAAAACAGAATTCATAATTTATGATACAAAAAAAAAATAAACTCAGTAAGGTATTGTCAAATTAACTGCAGTTAAACATTACCGTGCATCGGGGGTCACTTCGGGAGCACATGTGAAGCTTAATTCAGGGGAACTATTTGAGTCCAGGTCTGATCTTCCTCCTTTATTTGAGTTCTCATACATTATACACTCTTTAAGTGCACTAATAACCTGAGACATATTTGGTCTTGCAGCCGAAGAGGGGTTCACACATGACATAGCTAGCTCAACAGCCCTCCAAACAGAACGTGAGTCATAGTCTCCCTTCAGATTTGGATCCATAATGCTTGCAATATCTCCCTTGGTAAGCATGAGCCCCACCCATTCTGCTATGTGAGGCTTTTCTCGTGTTTGCTGTATCACAGGACAGTTTGTGATAATCTCTAACAATACAATCCCCAAGCTGTATACGTCACTCTTCTCAGTTAGCCAATTTGTACGATAATATCTGTACGAAAATTCACTTATTAACCAAGGAAGACAAGATATACATTGTGTTTTGATTTTGGGTTCTGAAATTGGTATGCTTACTCAGGGTCAAGATATCCTGGAGTACCAGCAACATTTGTTGACACATGAGTTTCAACCCCATTTGGAAAAGATCTAGAGAGACCAAAATCAGCGAGTTTCGCTTGAAAATTCTCATCTAGAAGTATATTCGTCGTTTTAACATCTCTGTGAATCATTCGAGGCTCACTTCCAATATGTAAGTATTCTAATCCTGTTGTCAAAACATTCATTTCTTATATATTACCAACACGATAGTGCATATGATTGTCAAAAGTTTGAGTCAAATGGAACAGTTGAAGAACATCCCATTAGTTTGAGTTTGGAATAAAAATTAGGAAGGCAGAACTTAATTAGCACATACCTTGTGCAGTCTCAGTCATGATTTTAAGTCTACTTGCCCAGTTTAAAGAACCAGATGTCGACTCTCCTACATTTTCCATGACATAAATTTTAAACTCTTCTAAAGGTCAAAAGAGATATATGAACATAGCTAGGTACCATAAAAATTGAATATATTGTCATTGCCTTTCTAATCTTTTATGTATGATAATTTTACCTGAAAGATATTGTTTTAAGTCCCCGTTGGCTGCATACTCATAGATTAAAGCCAAGTGATCGTCTTCATCACAATAGCCAACCAGGCTTATCAGATTTGTGTGGTGAACCCTCAAAAGCAGCTCAACCTGATAAAATATTGGAAACATAAACTGTGGATCCTTGGTTTGTAATGATATGTCATGCTTTGTTAGGAGCATATCAGAAAATACATGTTTTTCTGGATTTATGACTTTATGTCAAAAGATATACCTCTGCCTTAAATTGCTTGTAGCCTTGAATTGATGATTGTGAGAGCACTTTCACAGCTACTTGTTCCATATCTGTCAGAAAACCATGATACACAGTTCCAAACCCTCCTTCTCCAATGTTTTTTCTAAACTTATATGTCATTACTTCGACTTCTGAATGAGTAAACCTCCTTTGCTTGGGTAAAATCGCTGATTTGTTAATTGCTGAAAAGGTATACATAAACATTAGTGATAAAAAAAAATGTTACATTTTATTATAGTCATATCATATCATGCATTGTTTGTTGGATCTGGGTAAGTACCTTTTGACATCCTTTTCCTTTTTATGGCAAAATAGAGAAGTATCATAGCTACAACAAGGATCCCAGCAGCAATCGATACAATCACAATTACAGTAGTTTTATTTTTGCATTTATCAGTGAAACAAAGCTTTCGGTTTCCTTGAACACTACAAAGCATAATGTCATGGATAAATACTGAAAATTCCAAATAAAAGGAAGGTGTGTCATCGATAAAACTAAAAGTGTAAACATGAAAGTCTTACTTTAGCGTCAGACCATTCTTTTCTTTATCGAGAAGGGCTTGGGGAATTAGACCTTTAAGATTGTTCCCACTCAAGTTTCTACATCGAGGTTAGATAAAACGGTACATGTAACTAACTCAGGCGAATCTCTTAAAAATATGAAGAAATATATGTTCTCCACTTGCGGTAAACACTTACATGGTTGACAATGATTTCATGTTGGCAAGAAACTCGGGTACTTCTCCAGATAAACTGTTACTTGATAAGTCCCTAACGTTTGTAATATGTAATGGTCATTTGATATGTATTAATGTTCAATCAGCTTTATATATTTGTGTATACGATATGCATAATCATTTTTCACTAATGGCATAACAAAACAATACCGGATTACTAGAAAAATTATGACACTACGATTTACATACGGATGCAGTTATTGAAAGATGCTAAATATTGATAAATACAGGAGGCAGTAGGCACTTACAGTTTTTGTAGCTGGGTCAAATTTTGTAGCGCGGGCGCTATACTCCCTTTCAACCCACGTTTGGACAAGTCCCTGCTTACACAAGGCAAACACATGAGACACATATTGTTAGGAACCTCACACTGAAAAGTAAAAAGGAACCTACGTTTGTATAATAAGCACAATCAGTCTATATATTATTGTTTGTTTTGAGTGGAATTTCATGAGTTGACACATTATATCAAATCAAGTAAGCCTAAAGGAGAAGACGCATTCACCAAAAATTGAGATGCAATCCTTGATGAATGAGTAGAATAGTATATTGCGGAGGTGTTAAGAATCCACAATGAAAGTGAGAAATGAACAACACTAATACATATATATATATATATAGTCTAATTCATTCATAATAAGTAATTCCGAGCTTGAATACCATGATTCCCACACTAGCTTTAGCTGCAAAAGCTTGTTAGAGAGTTATCTTACAGAGAAATGATTCTTGGGGGAGTAGACTTATCAGTATAACTGCAATCCACATAATCCCACTTAAACTCTTGAGGGACACATGGATCTCCTTGCCAACTGATTACTTTCAGCTGATAAGCGGTTTGGATACTCTTGATAGCAACAACTGGCACATGGGTCAATTGAGAGAGCCAATAATTAAATATATCGTTAAGAGTAGAATGTAGATGTAATAGATATGTAAATATATGGTAAATACTATTAGGTTGACGTAGTGATCAACGTACCCACAGCCCTAAACGCCTCATAAGCGTTAATCAATGGTGGAAGAGTTGACTCCGGAGTTCTCACTAACTGCAATTCGCACTCTCCTTGATAGCATTGCTTCGTTGATGCATTAATTAATATGGTTTCTAAGTGAAACATCTTAGGACTATAAACCGGGTTTGGGGTGTTTGCATTCCATATAATTGTAAATTCCCTGGTATCGCTTGCTTCTAGGGTTTTTATCTCAGCAAAGTGAAGATAAAAATAGTAGTTGTCACCAAAATCTTCATTGAAATGTAAAAGCCGTACTGGTTCACTTTCGTTTATGAATGTAAACCCCAGTTTAATGACAGGCTGTGGTATTTTATATGGATTAGAAGAATTCACGGTAAGAGTTGTCTCTAATTTTTGTACACGGGTATCAGGATCAGTATAAGACCATTTACGATCATAGACATCATCAGGATACCTGCATGCATGTGATTAGCCAAGAATCAGTAAATGAATCTTTTGAAAAGAAATTTAAGAAAACAATTCTTGCAAATATCGTCAGAAGTTAAGCCGAGTTACCGTATTGTGTGACCTTCATCCACCATACTCCCTCGTGAAATGAGCTTCAAAGAATCTGATTGTGTACTATAAGAATCACTTGCCAGAGGTCGTAACTCCAAGCTCGATATGAAAGGTATAGTTGCTCCATTTTTGACAAGACAAATCTGCAAAGAGTTTGACTTTGTCATATGAATGAGCTCCTCCCCTGGATAGCGATCGTATTCTCCCACTACTGCGAATATATTAGGCCCTATATAGAGATAAAATCTGGGCATAACATTAAGGCCATCATAATTTCCATAAACGAACTCAGCTCTGATAAGGTAGTTAGTGCCTTGCTTCACTCTTATATCATAGCAATTTCGCACCCCGTCAGGAAAATATCTTAAGACATTATGTGGCTTGTAGTCCCCTGTATAATTTTTTCGGACTTTACCACTTTGACCACTCGAGATAAACTCCGCATCAGATGAGAATACCAATCCTGTTTTTTGATCGGTATAAGGAGACTCTTTAGCGGGTAAACCGCAGTCCAAGCTGATAAATCCTGGTATGTCAAAAAGAGTAAACAACTGCGAGAAAATATTTGCCAGATTTTTCGAAACAAAAAAAGGTTTGAGATCGACCACACTGTTGACTTTCTGTAAACAAAATAATTTAATGTATATCCATAAACACAAGAATTTAACGGAAATACCTTCGGTACTCTGAGCACGGACGAGGTGTAAGAGGGCAAAAATGTTGAATATCAATGCCCATAAGTATCCTTGATGACTCTCCATTTGCAAGATAAATAAGGCGATTGATTATGTTTACGAAGATAAATAAACGAGATATTCGTAGCTCTACCTCTTTAAATTTTGATCAGAGGATTGAACGTCTAATTAGACTTTATAACGGAAAATAAAATAGAAATAAACAGATCAACTTGGGATAAAATTAAAGTAGTAATGTAGGATATACCCAACATGATAGTTAGTGGAAAGTTTTCTCATTAATTGTCAAACTCTACAACAACGCTACGAGCACGTCAATAAGAGTGTGATCATTAATATATTTTTTCTTTTCGAAAAGATTATTACCATACGTTACGGATATACGTTTATATATCTCCTTGTATCGATTATGTTAATATGTCTTTATTGTTAAAATACTAACCTATTAAACTTCAGTACATATAATATATTGAGGCCATTGACCTAATAATGATCATTAGAAGAAAACCTTATATAAGAATTAGTTCATAGTATTAGAGCGTTGATAAGAAGATCCTATGCTTGTATCACAATCTATCAAAACTCTGAAGATGTATTTTTTTTTAACGCTAGTGTATTATTGAGCCACATGGGCAAAAAGTTTTAGAACATTACAAAAAAAAGAAAAACAAAGCATAAGATCGTACCAATAGGTATGTCATAAGTAAGAACGGGTCTAAAATACCAAAGAGGTTATCTTATACCAAAAAATCCTCCTATACATTAAAAGAGAAGTCACTTGGACACGTGTCACTCATACATGCATTCTCAGAGAAATTCTGAGAATCTGATTGGTTGATTTATTTCAATTTTCGTTTATATTTTTTTTTGTTTCGCCGTGCAAATGGTATGAGAATCGTTCTCAAATATTTGGTTACGTTAATTACTTGCCTTATATTATATTAGATAAATCGTATCTCAAATATTTGGTTACGTTAATTACTTGCCTTACATTATATTCGATAACTTGCGAAACAAGTTGGAAATTAAATGCCAAAGATGTCAATCTCATACCATTAGGAAAGTAATTCAATATATATTTTAATTTTCTTTTTTATTTATTTTTTGTTTGGCGTGCAAGTGTTACGATTTATATATGAGAATCGTATCTCTAAAATTTAATGTATAGGTTATTTACTTTCCTTACCTTATATTCGATAACTTGCGTGAGAAGTTGGAAATTCAATGTCAAATATGTCAATCTCATACCGTTAGGAAAGCTTGACAATATATATATATACGATGTCCTAATGTTTGTAGACCGAACGCAAGTTATAAAACAGCTATGGTTACCAGAGAGATTTCTCAGGGACGAGCTCAGGATTCGATGGTAAAGAATGGTGAAATCTGTGTCTTATTATTACCTTTTTCCCCTGAAATTTTTGGGTAGATGTATCTTATCATTTCAGCTTTTGTTAGCCTGTAGGTACAGTATTCGTATGTTGTTGAAGACTGTTGTTTATTCTTACATGATATTATGTGTTCTGATATTAGCAACTGGATCTGCATCAACTTCTCTACACAAGTTACAGACAATCATGCACGTACTTTCTGTCAGGAACTTGCTCGAATGTGCCTCACATCTGGCATTGTAAGTTTTGTAAAGCACAACTTTTATCAATTTTATTAACCTTTCGCACCTTGATGTTTGAATTATTTCGTACCTTGAGGACGGTGGCATTGGTTCAGCGTTCGATGACATTCAGAAACGTAATGATTGGCATGAATGGGCTGACCATTTGATCACTGACGAAGATCCTTTGCTATCAACTAACTGGAATGATCTCTTGCTTGACTCAACTTCCAATTCAGACTCAAAGGTTTGTTACAATTTATTATTTGAAGTATTTTATCCTTTTTGATTCCATATTCTCATGTGTTTTAGGACCAGAAAACTCTACAAGTTCCACCGCAACCACAGATTGTTCAGCAGCAACCTTCTCCTTCTGTGTCTGTGGAGTTGCGACCTGTCAGCACAACATCTTTAAACAGTAACAACGGAACAGGCAAGGCACGTATGCGTTGGACGCCAGAGCTTCACGAGGCTTTTGTTGAAGCTGTCAACAGTCTTGGTGGCAGTGAAAGTGAGCTTTTAATTTCTCCTTTGCTTTCCATAAACTTTGTTTGTCTTATGGCTAGACTCATATTGTTACTATGTTACGCAGGAGCTACTCCTAAAGGTGTGCTTAAGATTATGAAAGTTGAAGGCTTGACTATATATCATGTAAAAAGTCATTTGCAGAAGTATAGGACGGCTAGATATAGGCCAGAACCATCAGAAAGTGGTAAGTCTTTCCTATCTTCATTTCCTTGATGTTTGTTCCTGAGATAATCATGCACTTCCGTTCAAAATCGCTTTATTTTGAGGGTTACAGGTTCGTCTGAGAAGAAGTTGACACCGCTTGAACATATAACATCTCTTGACTTGAAAGGGTAAGGCTCTTCACAATTGTTACACCATTTTTAACAAATTCTCACTTTGTATGAAGTCTTTAACAAATTTGTATCTATGCTACAGTGGGATGGGTATCACCGAGGCTCTGAGACTTCAGATGGAAGTACAGAAGCAACTCCATGAGCAGCTCGAGGTATATATTATATACATCATTATAGCTTTGGATTTTTTTTGTCTGTGTGTGAGATTTTTTGGATTTATGAAGCTGAAAATAGTGCAAAGGTGAAATGTGTAAAAGATGATGAGTTTGGATCAAAATGTTTTTATCTTTCTGTTACACTGCAGATTCAAAGAAACCTGCAACTACGAATAGAAGAACAAGGCAAGTACCTGCAAATGATGTTCGAGAAACAAAACTCTGGTCTAGGCAAAGGGACAGCCTCAACATCAGATACGCCTTCCAAATCCGGAGAAGAAGACAAGAAAATCACTGATTCAAAGGAGCTCGCACCAGAGGAAACCAGGGAATGCCAAGAGCCAGATTCTCCACAGCCAAAGCGCCCCAAAACAGATAATTGAAAGCTCTCTATTACCAAGAAATTTGGTGTTTTACTGGATCGTTTAGGAGTTCCAGAGTTTAACAGAGTGGGAGACTTGAAGACTTCTCTCTCTACTGTTTAACTATTTTTCCTGATGAAAGACTCTCAGCTCTGCTGTGTAGACAAGCAACAGATCCCCCAAGAAGAAACCAAAAACAAATAAGAACTCTTTTGGGAGAATCTTCATCATCATTCAAATGTAATCTAAATGCTAAACTCATCATTAGTTTTACAGATACAGATTCTGTCATCATGTTTTTAGAATATTAAGGCTTACAAGAACACTTGACCACAACCAATTTAGTTTCTTTTCAACTATGTGTTACAGAATGTTTATAAACTTCACATCAAATCAGATACGCACACATACATTTTATATCTTATATCCATCTATATATCAAAACAAACGTAAAAAAAAAAGGAAAAGAGAAAGAGAAATCATAACAAAAAACAAAAAAAGAATCATCTGAACGGCTCCACTGGCATAGTTTCCTCCAATGCAACACCCAAGATTGTACCAAGCCGACTGGTTCATCCTATCAATCCTAAGAGCCTCCATTAGAAAGCTTCTTACAACTGCTATGCTTGATCGGTTCCCAAGCTCCAGAAGAATCTCAGCCTTCGATATCAGGCTCGGGACGTGCATTGGATCTATGTCTAGAGCAGTTGTAAACACTTCCATCGCTTCTTCTAACTGTCCCTGTCTCTTGTATAGTACACCTGTCAAACAGGCACGAATAAGCTATTAACATGAAGGTCTTGAATGTTATCATTTAGAAGATAAATAAGAAGGTAATACCTTGAGTGTGGTATCGAACAGGAGAGTAAGGCGCAATGAGTCTATAATTTTGTTTCAGTTTAATATTGAATTTAGTGCACATACTTTATGTGTATATGTTTTAAAACATAACTAGATTTTGACCCGCGTTTTAAAAGCGCGGGTATATTTTTACCATTTTGATAAAATTTATTTAAATTAATTATTCAAACACAAAAATTTTAAAATTATTTTATTAATATTTAAAAAAGTTCTATTATAATGTTCAATTTTCACGTAATGTTTCCATATCCAATCCAGATCCATAGTTGAACCGGTACATCCGGAAATTTTTATATAATCCAGTTAAGATTTAATTAAAAATTTACTAATTAAAAATTTAAGCCAACCCGATATATATCTTAAAACCCGCTATTAATCTGTATTATGATATATGTTGTTCCGTTAAATAACCCCATAAAAACTGATAATATATTTTAAAAAATTTGTTAAATAATTCATATTTTTAATATTAAAGAAAATTGATTTTTTTGTAATTTCTTTAATAAAAACTTTCTTGTCATTTGAAAAAAATGAAACAATGGCAATAGAAAAAAAAACATAATTTATTCATATAACAATATTAGTTTCTTTTCGTTATTAATAACCTATGATAAGTTTACATTTTTACTCATTTTATATCTAAAACTTAGTTTTTAAAATAAATTGAATTGACATATCATTATTATGGATAAAATGAAACAGTTAATAATAATTTATAATTTTTGATCTCTAAATAATATGATGCACGGAAATATGATATTAAATTAAATAGAAAATCATAATTTTCATAAAAGGAAAATTATATTTAATCACAAAAATAGGAAATATTATCAGTTACCATAAATATAGGAGATATTAAATTGTTTAATTAATTAAGATTCTAAAAATAAATAGTGGTATTATCTTATAAATGTGATAAAAATCTAGGGGTAGAATCCAAAATTTTAACAATAGGATCCTGCTTTAATAGTATATATTTTTCTTTATAAAATTAAGCGACAAAGATCCTAATTAAACCGATCCAAAAACAAACCGAACTGGATATAAATTGAACTAGACATAAACAACACCGAACCAGACTAAATAAGGTTTATTTCAGTTGAAAAAATATATTAAAACCGAACTAAACAAACCAAACCGAAAAAGTAACGATTTGCCCACCCCTACTACATCCTAGAGATTTGCGCAATTTTTTTCTCAGCATTGAAACTCTCACTTGTTCTACTAACTCCCACATTTGAACTCAATAGATACTCTTGTCTCAGCATTATACTATATTTTTATACCCGCACAGGGTGCGGGTCGGTCACCTAGTAAAAAATAAAGCATAAGATCATACCAATAGGTATGTCATGTCATAAGAGAGAACGGGTGTAAAATACCAAAGAGTCAAAGAAAAACAAATGCAACACACGCATAACAAAGACAGAAGTCTTATGATGGTGTACGTTCTAAGGAGGCCGGAAGAGAGGCTGGTTCTTCCGCATAGTTCAAGATTTTAATTTTACACCGTATGCGATGGAAACTCGTGTTAAGAACACTAGACAGTTTCTGAAATTGATACCTTCTCGTTTGCCATGAGCTCGAACTCTCCAAATTTCTTGGCTCTTCTTTTATATCTACATTAGCCGCTTTTTCGAAGTCCGTTTCCAAAAGATCAATCTCACCATTTATGACCGTCACAACCAAGGAGAAGTAAAGCAAGACCAACAAAATACCTAATTCCAATAAATGACAAAGACTTGACTCCACAAGGAGAAAAAAATAGATGATAATACCGTCGCTCCACAAGGAGCCGGCAACTCTCAAAAGCCACTACACCACCCAAAATAGAGAAGATCTGAACCAGATAAACTTTTCCGCAGAGGACCTGAAACTCTCAAACTCAAAAACCACCACCAAACTAAGAAATTAATACAGTGAATGAAATAGTAGGAGGGTCTACTTACATCGTTAGTGACAAGTCACTGAACGCCGGATCAAACCCTCTAAACGGTAAGAAAAACAGAGAAAAAGAAGAGGCAGTTAGGGTTTGAGAGAGAGAGAGGGGATGAAAGTCAACGAGTATATGAAGATGTATTTATAAGAAGTGTTTTGTATCTCTTTGTGAACTAGGACATGAGATACTATAAATGGGCTGTGTTAGAATTTATAGATTGTTGTGATATGCGTGAACCTGTTAAGTTGTGAAAAAAACAATATATTTTTGAAGACAAATAGATGTTTTTCGCTAACGAAAAAAATAAAGAGTTTGTCTAAAAATTAAGTTTTCGATTAAAACAAATTGTTTAAAGTGCATAAGAACTTGGAATAAATTTAGGTTATGTATACAAGGAGGAAGCGCCTCTCTGAAGAAAAGTGCATGTGCAGAATAAGAAAATCGAGGAATCTTTGTTTGGTGCTTGTATGATCAAAGATTTAAGTGCCAATACTCTATGTTAGGTGCTAAAGTTGTTGACTTTGACGCACTTTCAGAGATTTGGAAAATTGGAGTCTAATTAAACTTGGAAGGGGTCACAGAGATGGCAATTGGGCTCTCCCATCCCGTCCCATCTCGAACCGCTGCTGGTTCGTTTTCTAGCGGGATACGACGGACCTGTCCCGCGCGGGATGTGGTCTTGAAAACAGTTGCCCAATCCCGTACCGCATTTCTTATAGGCCTTCGCGGGTCGTCCCGCGGAACGTGTGACAATATGCACAGTAGAACAATTCAGGCCATTCTAGGACATAGTTCAAGTCGTCGATTCAACTGGATATAATTCATCAATCATTGCTTTGCTTATATTCAAAACAATAATTTTAGTTGGGACATAATTGTATCACACCCAAAACATATTAACATACAAAGTAAAAATAATTGCAGAAATTATTTTTCATTATCTTATAACTCATAAGTTCATAACCAATGTTTTAGTTTGCTGGATCCAAAAATTAAATAAAATGAAACACCAGATCAAAAATGTCAATCCCAATTTAATTAAAAAAAACAAATCAAAATACTACTATAGCTCGAATCGTCATCACTAGAGCTATAGTCGTCATCCCTGGAGCTCAAATCATTATCACCGAAGCTCGAATCATCATCATCGCCCGAAATCATTACATATTCTCAGGGAAAATCACATGAATTGTCTTATTCTCACTCATTCTCGTCTTCTTGATATGATCTTGGATTTCAAAGGGAATCTTTTAAGGTTGAAGATGTTTTTGTATCAGCTGGAAATTTAGGTTGTAGCTGTATCCATTACAAAGTTAGTTGCAAGATTGGTTCAGAAGCTTTATTATTTGCAAAAGAGTCATAAACGTGTTTTACCTTATATTTAATTACTAGGTGATTTTCCCGTGCGCATGCACGGGCATGTATATTTGTAAAATAAATATACAATAATAATTGATTGATATTTACTTTAATTTTTAAATTAATTTATAGTTTGTATGTTCTAATTTATATTATAATATTATATTAATTTAATTATATATATATAATTTTAGATATTTTATATTTAGTATGTTTTATTGTTCTTATGGTCGATTTAGTTATCATTTAGATATATTGGATTCTATCTATTTCTCTGAATTCAACTATAATCTTTTATATTTAAAATATATTAAATTTTTGATTAATTTTCTTATTTGCATTTATGTTGGTTGTTATTTTAGAAATATAAGTATATTTAGTAAGATTATATATAACTTAAGATTTTTTTGTGCTTAGAAGGAAAAAAAAAAAAAAAACTAAAGTGTCTGATTATAAATTACATACATAAGTAACTAATGAATTTTTAGAAGCTTTTGAACACATATCAATATTTACAATAATTAAAATATTTTATAAATTCTAAATAAATTTATGCTTTAGATTGATTGGATGGTAAACTGAAATTTCTTTTAAATAATTTTAAAAATAAGGATTCTGATTTGCTTAAGTATTTTGACTATGGTTATATTAAGTTTCACAAACATAAAAACAGAAAATTAAAAATCAAAAGATTTATTAAGAAAACAAATAATCTACTCTATTAAAATAGAGTCCTTATTTTTATCTACTGATATAAAGTTGTCATTTAAATTTGGACTCTTTCTAGAGTGTTACAAATAACACAAATTATATGACTGATTGAACCGCATTACTTAAATTAAACCGACGGTTATTTATGAGATATAATATTGGACTTACTTTTTTTTAAGACAACTTATA